ATTTAGGCAGCTCTTTACTGGTCATGCTCTTAAATACAATACAATGACTTGTTCAAAGCATGCCATAATTATTAACATGAAATCTGTAATCTTTGCTTTAGTTAACTGAATTAGTTTAAGAGAGTCACTAACTTGGATCTGTTTTCATTGTTGCTATGCAAGAGAGACTTTTGGGAAGAGCGTGATTCTAAAGAGAGAACTCTGAACTAGAGAACTCTGAATCTTTCTCATATACATTAAAAATACGAAAACATAGCCAAGTGCTTTAGCTTAGCCTAAACCTATAATTTTGACAGAGAATCCTTTGGGAATTTGTCTATTTCACAGTGTTCACATTAAAGCCAAGCAGAACTATTATTAGCAAATACACAAATCAAGAGGCTTATTTTGTCCTTAATAAGCAACAATCATTTATTACCTTGAGTAATACCTTATTATAGCTTATATGCTCAGGCATGCTGCAGGAAAGGTAATGGAATTATTGGACATTTGTGAAATTCAAACTTCATTATTCAAGATGGGCACCAGTAACTGCAAGAAGCAAAGGATTACTTTAAATGATTAAACTAGTCAATACATGCATACATGAGATTCACTTTAATGAATCTCTCATAATCCCAAATCATATGCCATATTGGAAGTCAAACCCGTTTGGCCCACTATGAGTGTGTAAATCTAAAACATTTCAAAAGTGGATGTAATTAATTTGGAAGAGTGTTATTTTACAGTGCAGAAGTCCACGTACTTGTAAATACAATGAACCAAAAATAAAAAGACCCATAAGCTTATACTGTGAGGCATTGTGGTATTTAGAATTTTTCTACATGTCTCTGAAAGTCAAGAAACCATATGCCAGTTAGGCAAGTATTTAGTTATTCAACTATACAAAGTATTTGGCTTATATTATACATTAGCTATAATGTACATATTTAGGAAATTTCGGGTTGTACCTCCATAGCAATTTTAAGAGGGATAATTTTTCCTGATACAAATTATTAAGTGAACAGGTATTTCTCTTAACCTTCTATGGTTAGTACTATTCCAATTAAATGTATAAATGGCCTAATCTTAGCCCTGTTTTTACATCTTGGTTTAGTTTCTCAGTAACAGCTAAATATTACCAAAATATATCTCGCTCTTTTTTGGGGATCAAAACAAAAGCCCAAGTTCTCGGGCGCCTGGATGGCTCAGTCAGTTGAGCATCCGACTCTTGATTTCAGCTGGTGATCTCAGGGTCATGGGATCGGGCCCTGCATCAGGCTCTGCTCTCAGCACGGAATCTGCTTGTCCCTCTCCCTCTGCTCCTCCCTCTGCTCCTCCCCCTACTCACACACTAGCTCCAAAATAAGTAAAACCTTTAAAAAAAACAAAAATCCAAGTTCTTAGAAATTATAGAGATAAATGAAGCACTGAGGGTAGGACAACCATGAAGTTACAACTCTCCCATCCTAACAGAATTAAAAAGTTGCATGAATGTTAAGTTACTTGAGGTCTGCTCATTCATTCTACACATTTATATTGAGGACCTAGTATGGGATCAGGTACTGTTTTGCATTCTGGGGATCTAAAGTGGACAAAAAGTCCCTGCCTTAAGGGGCTCACATTCTAGTGCAGAAGCAAGTAGACAAAATATAAGAGTGGAAGTGCCAAGTAGGAAGCTCATCCCTTCCATGTACACACCAAGGCTGCAACTACATATAGAGCAACTCACTTTGAGAATGACCTGACAACTAGCAAAAATCTCTTCCACTACTAAAGGTATAGAGAAAAAGCCACATTGAGAAGGGTAGGAGGGGCAAGTAAGAAGCCAAACCCTTGGCAGGGTGAACCCACAGGTGGGAGAGAAAGTACATGCACAGATGTCTTCCTTGGGGAGGGAGGGGTTCAAACCCCACATCAGCCACTCCTGCCCCAGCCCTGGGGATCTGTTCTAGGAAGATGAGCCACCACCCACCCTGCCCCATAACATCTTTCTTTGAAACTCTAGGAACTTTGAAAATCAGCAGGGATTAACTAGGGGAAAGCCAGAGGGCTATAGGAAATAAAAACTCTGGGGTGCCTGGGTGGCTCAGTCGTTAAGCATCTGCCTTCGGCTCAGGTCGTGATCCCAGTGTCCTGGGATCGAGCCCCGCATCAGGCTCCCTGCTCGTCCCTCTCCCACTCCCCCTGCTTGTGTTTCCTCTCTGGCTGTCTCTCTCTCTGTCAAATAAATAAAATCTTTTAAAAAAAAGGAAACAGAAACTCTGCTCTTAAAGGGACCTCACGTTATAGGAGTCCCAGAAGAAGAAAGAGAAAGGAGCAGAAACTTAAAGAAATAATACCTGAAAACTTCCCTAACCTCAGGAAGGAAACAGACTCCAGGCCCAGGAAGCATAGACAGTCCCAAACTGCTGAACATAAAGAGATCCCCACCAAGACAAATAATAATTAAAATGTCAAAAATTAAAGAGAGAGAAATCTTAAAAGCAGCAAGAAGGAGGAGAAGACGGTGGAGTAGGAGGACCCTAAGGTCACCTCATCCCATGAATACAACTAGATAATTATCATATCATCCTAAATACCCCAGAAATCAATCTGAAGACTGGCATAACAAACCACAACTAAAGGTAGAGAAGAGGCCACATCGAAGAAGGTAGAAAGTGGAGAGGTAGCTTGGGAGAGAAACCAATTGTGGCTGCTGCGGTCACAGAGAAGGGCAAGAGACAAACTAGCCCACAGGGGAGTGCATAGGGAGTAAGAATTCCCATCGCAATTACCTTGGAAAGAGAGGGCCCCAATTTTGTGAGTTCTTAACAACCAGTGGGGCCTAAAGCCTGGAGTTTTAAAGGTTGCGTGCTTGACCCTGGGAGAGCTCAGAGGACATTGGGCTGCTCCTGGAGAAAAGCCAGGGCAAACAGCCAGTGGATGTGCAATGTGGACACAGCAATCTGAAGAGCACCTGGGGCACACAGTGGGGAGGTTATTTGCTCATCCTGGAGTGTGTCCCAGAGAGGCAGCATTCATGGAGAGACCCCTCTGGGAGCAAAGGAACTGGCAGCTGCCATTTCTCTCCCCACACCTCAGCATAAGCATAGGGCCACCTGCAGGACCCAACACTGCCAACATTCACTACCTAACTGCCTAGACCAAGCCCTGCCCCTCCCCCACACTTCGGCGGAACCATCCCTACCAATCAGCTTCCCTCAGTCACAGCACAGCAGGCCCCCTTCCCTCAGAACACTGGCCCAAACCCCTGCCCACACCATGTCTCCCCACGTGGGAGTTCTGCAGAGCCTCAATGGCAACACGTCTCATTTCACAAGCAGACCAGAGCATAGCTAGTTAAAACTCACCACATTCAGGCCAGGGACCAACACTGCCCACAACAGCTTAAGAGAGCCTCTGCAGATGACTGGTCTAAAGGATTAAGTGGCCAAGACACAACAGCAGAGCATACACAGCACACATTAGAGACACTCTCAGAAGCGCCAGGCCCAGGGGAGCAGGGTACAATACACTGCAGGACCTCTTATTCATAAAGCCATTACCCTCAAGAACAGGAGATGTATCTGGCATTCCTAACACAGAGAAACAGGCACGAAGTCAGATAAAATAAGACAGAAGAATTCGTCCCAAATGAAAGAACAGGACAAGGATTTGGCCTGAGATATAAGCAAAACACACACAAGTAACATGCCTGATGGAGAATTTAAAGCAATGATCATAAGGATACTTGCTGGGCTTGAGAAAAGAGTGGAGGACATCAGTGAGACTATTAACACAGAGATAAGGAATGATATAGCAGAGATAAAGGGCTCAATAAACAAAGTGAGAAAATGCTTGATGGGATGAACAGCAAGATGGAAGAAACAGAGGAACAAATCAGTGACCTAGAAGACAGAGTAATGGAAAGTAATCAAGCTGAACAAGGAGAGAAAAAGAATCATGCAAAATGAGAATAACTTAGAGAACTCAGTGACTCCATCAAACATAACATTTGTATTATAGGAATCCCAGAAGAAGAAGCGAGAGAAAAAAGGGGGGAAAGAATTTATTTGAAGAATAGCTGAAAACTTCCCTAACCTGGGAAGGAAACAGCTAGATCCAGAAGGCACAGAGAGCCCCCAACAAAATCAATAAAAGCAGATCCACACCAAGACATAATGTAATTAAAATAACAAAATACAGTAATAAAAAATGTTAAAAGCAGCAAGACAAAAGAAGTCGGTAACTTACAAGGGAAACCCATAAGGCTATCAGTAGATTTTTCAGCAGACACTTTCCAAGCCAGAAAGGAGTGGCAGGATATATTCAAAGTGCTAAATGGGAAAAACTGGCAGCCAAGAATACTCTATCCAGCAAGGCTATCATTCAGAATAGAAGGAGAGAGAGAGTTTCCCAGACAACAAAAATTAAAGGTGTTCATGACCAGTAAACCAGCTCTGCAACAAATATTAAAAGGGATTCTTTGAGTGAAAAGGAAAGACCAGAAATGAGAGTGTGACGTAGGACTCACAAAAGTGGTAAAAATGAACATTTCAATAAAAAATCAGACAAGGAACTCACAAAATAAAAGGATGTAAAATATGACACCATATACCTAAAACATAGGAAGGCAAGGAGTAAAGAATAGGTTCGGACTTAAACGACCATCAACATCCCTCTCTCACTGTATCTCTTTCTGTCAAATAAATCTTTAAAAATAAATAAAAAATAAATAATAATTACTTTGAATGGAAATGGACTCAACACTGCAATCAAGACACAGGGTGACAGAATGGATTACAAAACAAGACCCATCTATATGCTACCTACAAGAGACTCATTTTATTTTATTTTTTAAAGATTTTATTTGACAGAGAGAGAGAGCGAGAGCAGGAACACAAGCAGGGGGAGAGGGAGAAGCAGGCCCCCCGCCGTGCAGGGAGCCTGATGCGGGGTTTGATCCCAGGACCCTGGGATCATGACCTGAGCTGAAGGCAGACGCTTAACAACTGAGCCACCCAGGTGCCCCAAGAAACTCATTTTAGACCTAAAGACACCTGCAGATTGAAAGCGAGGGGATGGAGAAACATCTATCATGCAAATGGACATCAAAAGAAAGCCTGAATAGCAATACTATATCAGACAAAATAGACTTTAAAACAAAGACTTTAACAAGAAACAAAGAAGGGCACTATAAGAATAAACAGGACAATTCAACAAGAAGATGGTAACAATTGTAAATATTTATGCATCCCACATGGGAGTACCCAAATACATAAAATAGTTAATAACAAACTCAAAGGAACTAATCAATAATAGTAGGGGACTTAACACCCCACTTACATCAATGGACAGATCATCTAAACAGAAAATCAACAAGGAAACAGTGGCTTTGAATGACAACCTGGACCAGATGGATTTCACAGATATATTCAGAACATCCCATTCTAAAACAGCAGAATACACATTCTTTTCAAGTGCACATGGAACATTCTCCAGAACAGATCACATATTAGGCCACACAACAAAACTCAAAAATTCAAAATGATCAACATTATACCATGAGCCTTTTCTGACCACAACGCTATGAAACTAGAAGTCAACAAGAGAAAATCTGGAAAGACCACAAAGACATGGAGGTTAAATAACATGCTACTAAAAAATGAATGGGTCAACCAGGAAGTAAAAGAAGAAATTAAAAAGCACATAGAAACAAATGAAAGTGAAAACACAATGGTTCAAAACCTTCGGGATGCAGCAAAAGCGATTCTAAGAGGGAAGTTTATAGAAACAGGCTTACCTCAAGAAGCAAGGGCAATAAACAAAGCCTAAAACAATAGGAGGGAGGAAATAATAAAGATTAGAGCAGAAATAAATGATAGGGAAATTAAAAAAAAACAACAACAATAGAACAGATCAAGAAAACCAGGAGCTGGTTCTTTGAAAAAAATCAATAAAATTGATAAACCTTTAGCCAGACTTATCAAGAAAAAAAGAGAAAGGACCCAAATAAATAAAACTGAGAGAGAAGAGAAATAACAACAAACACCACAGAAATATAAACAATTATAAGAGAATATTATGAAAACTATATGCCAACAAATTGGACAACTTAGAAGAAATGGATAAATTCCTAGAAACATATAACCTATCAAAACTGAAACAGGAAGAAAGAAAATTTGAACAGACTGATTACTGGCAAAGAAATTGAATCAGTAATCAAAAAACTCCCAACAAACTGAAGTCCAGGACCAGATGGCTTCACAGGTGAATGGGGCTAGACATTTAACGAAGAGTTCATTCCCATTCTTCTCAAACTATTCCCAAAAATAAAAAAGGAAGGAAAACATCCAAGTTCATTTTATAAGGCCAGCATTACTCTGATACCAAACCCAGATGAAGACACCACAAAAAAAAGAAAACTACAGGCCACTATTTCTGATGAACAAAGATGTAAAAATCCTCAACAAAATGCTAGCAAACCCAATCCAACAATACATTAAAAAAAATAATCCACCACAATTAAGTGAGATTTATTCCTGGGCTGCAAGGATAGTTCAGTATTCACAAATCAATCAACGTGATATGTCACATCAATAAGAGAAAGGATAAGAACCATATGATCATTTCAGTAGACACAGAAAAAGCATTTGACAAAGTACAACACCTATTCATGATTAAAAAAACCCTCTACAAAGTAGGTCTAGAGGGAACATACCTCAACATAATAAAGGCCTTATATGAAAAACCCACAGCCAACATCATCCTCAATGGGGAAAAACTGACAGCCTTTCCCTAAAGGTCAGGAACAAGACAGGGATGTCCAATCTCACCACTTTTGTTCAACATAGACTGGAAGTCCTAGCCACAGCAGCCAGACAACCAAAAGAAACAAAAGGCATCCAAATCAGTAATGAAGAAGTAAAACTTTCACTATTTGCAAATGACATGAAACTTATAGAAAACTTGAAGGACTCCATCAAAAAAACGCTAGAACTGATAAATGCATGCAGTAGAGTCACAGGATACAAAATCATTGTACAGAAATCTGTTGCATTTCTATATGCCAATAATGAAGCGGCAGAATTTTTTTTTGAAAATCACATTTACAATTGCACCCAAAATAATAAGATACCTAAGAATAAACATAACCAACGAGATGAAAGACTTGTACTCTGTACAAGACTTGTACACAACGAAATGGAAAAGCATGCCATGCTCATGGACTGGAAGAACAAATACTGTTAAAATATCTATACTACCCAAAGCAATCTACACATTTAATGCAATCCCTATAAAAATACCAATAGCATTTTTTTACAGAACTAGAACAAACAATACTAAAATTTCTATGGAATCACATAAGTCCCTGAATAGCCAAAGCAATCTTGAAAAAGAACAGCAAAGCTGGAGGCACCACAATTCTGGACTTCAAGTTATATTACAAAGCTGTAGTGATCAACACAATATGGTACTACCACAAAAACAGACACCTAGATCAACAGAACAGAATAGAAAACCTAGAAATAAACCCACAATTATATGGTCAATTAATCTATGACAAAGCAGGAAAGCATAGCCAATGGGAAAAACACAGTCTCTTCAACAAACAGTGTTGGGAAAACTGGACAGCAACATTCAAAAGAATGGAACTGGACCACTTACTCACACCATACACAGAAATAAATTCAAAATAGATTAATGACCTAAATGTGAGATCTGAAACCATAAAAATCCTAGAAGAACACAGGCAGTAACCTCTTTAACATCAGCTATAGAAACATCTTTCTAGATATGTCTCCTGAAGCAAGGAAACAAAAACAAAACTATTGGGACTTGATAAAAATAAAAAGCCTCTGCACAGTGAAGGAAACAATCAACAAATCTAAAAGGCAATCTACAGATGGAAGAATATATTTGCAAATGACACAGCCAGTTAAGGGTTAGTATCCAAAATATATAAAGAACTTATAAAACTCAACGCCCAAAACACAAATAATCCAATTAAAAAATGGGCAGAAGATATGAACAGACATTTCTCCAAAGAAGACATACAGATGACCAACAGACACATGAAAAGATCGTTATCATCACTTATCATCAGGGCAATTACAAATTAAAACTACATTGAGATATCACCCCACACCTGTTAGAATGGCTAAAATCAACAACACAAGAAACAAGAGGTATTGCTGAGGATGTGGAGAAAAAGGAACCTTTGTTGCACTGTTGGGAATGCAAACTGGTACAGTCACTCTGGTAAACAGTATGAAGGTTCCTCAAAAAATTAAAAATAGAACTACCCTATGATCCAGCAGTTGCACTACTGGGTATTTACCCAAAGAATATCAAAACTCTGGGGCACCTGGGTGGTCTGTTAAGCATCTGACTTCAGCTCAGCTCATGATCTCAGGGTCCTGGGATTGAGCCCTTCGTCAGGCTCTGCACTCAGCCAGGAGTCGACTTGTCCCTCTCCCTCTCCATCTACCCCTCCCTTGGCTCATGTTTTGTCTCTCTCTCAAATAAATAAAATCTTAAAAAAAAATCAAAACACTAATTCAAAGGGACACATGTTTATAGCAGCACTATTTACAGGAGCCAAGACTGATGAATGGATAAAAAAGATGTGGTGTATATATACAATGGAACATTATTCAGCCATAACAAGGAATGAAATCTTGGGGCACCTGGGTGGCTCAGTCAGTTAAACATCTGCCTTCAACTCAGGTCATGATTCCAGGGTCCCTGCTCAGTAGGGAGTCTGCTTCTCCCTCTACCCCTCCCCACCCCCGTTCATGCTCTCTCTCTCACTCACTCTCTCAAATAAATAAATAAAAATAAAAAATAAAGAATGAAATCTTGCCATTTGCAATGGCATGGATGGAGCTAAAGTGTATAATGCCAAGTGAAATAAGTCAGTCAGAAAAAGACAAATTTGATATGATTTCACTCATGTGGAATTTAAGAAACAAAACAAATGAGCAGTGGGGGAAAAAGAGAGACAAACCAAAAAACAGACTCTCAACTATAGAGGACAAACTGATGGTTACCAGAGGGGAGAGAATGAGGGTGGGGGGAGAATGGGTTAAATAGGCGATGGGGATTAAGGAGTCTCCACTTGTGATGAGCACTGGGTGACTAATATAAAACCTTTAAAAAAAAAAAAAAAAAGGCAGCAAGAGAAAAGCAACCAGTTACCTACAAGGGAAACCCCACAAGGTTATCATTTGATTTTTTTAACAGAAACTTTGCAGGCCAAAAGGGGATAGCATGATATATTCAAAGTGCTGAAAGGAAAAAACCTCCAACCAACAATATTCCTCCCAGAAGGGTCATCATTCAGAAATGAAGGAGAGATAGTTTCCCAGACAAACAAAAGTTAAAGGAGTTTATCACCACTGACTGGTCTTAAAAAAATGTTAAAAGGACTTCTTTAAGTGGAAAAGGCCAAAACTTTAGTAAGAATTTATGAAAGATAAAAACGTCCACTAGTAAAAGCAAACATATAGTAAAGGTAGTAGATCAAATCACTTACAAAATCAATTATATCTACAATAATTAGTTCAGGGATATACAAAATAAAAAGATGTAAAATATAACACCAAATACATAAAACATGGAGAAGGGGAGTAAAAATGTAGTATTTTTACAATGTGTTTTAGAATATGTTCAAACTTGGGCGCCTGGGTGGCTCAGTTGGTTAAGCAACTGCCTTCGGCTCAGGTCATGATCCTGGAGTCCCAGGATCGAGTCCCATATCGGGCTCCTTGCTCAGCAGGGGGGTCTGCTTCTCCCTCTGATCCTCCCCCCTCTCATGTGCTCTCTCTCTCTCATTCTCTCTCTCAAATAAATAAAATCTTCAAAAAAAAAAAATAGAATATGTTCAAACTTAAGCAAACATCAACTTAAAATAGACTCCTGTATACATAGGATGTTATACATAAACCTCATGGCAACCACAAACCAAAAACCGATAATAAATACACAAAAATAAAGAGAAAGAAATCTAAGCCTAACACTAAAGAAAATCATCAAATCACAAGGGAAGAGAGCAAAAAAGAAGAACAGAGAAGAACTACAAAACAACCATAAAACAAGTAACAAAATGGCAATAAACACATACCTATCAATAACTACTTTAAATGTAAATGGACTAAATGTTCTAGTCAAAAGACATAGGGTGACTGGAGGAAAAAAAAAAAAAAGACCCATCTATATGTTGCCTAGAAGAGACTCACTTCAGACCTCAAGACACACAGACTTAAAGTGAAGACATGGAAAAAGATACTCCATGCAAATGGAATAAAAAAAAAAGCTGGGGTAGTAATACTTATATCAGACAAAATAGACTTTAAAACAAAGACTATAACAAGAGACAAAGAAGGCCTTAAATAATGTAAAAGGGATCAATCCTACGAGAATATATAACAATTGTAAATATCTATACACCCAACATAGGAGTACCTAAATATATAAAGCAAATACTTACAGATACAAAGGGGGAAACTAACAGTAATACAATCATAGTAGGGGACACCCCACTTCCATCTAAGAGGAAAGTTTATAGCAATACAGGCCTATCTTAAGAAACAAGAAAAATCTCAATCTAATCTTACACCTAAAAAAAAAAAAAGAGAGAAAGAGAAGAATAAATCTCAAAGTCATTAGAAGGAAGGAAATAATAAAGATCAGAGCTGAAAAAATAGAGCCAAAAAAAACAATAGAAAGGATGAAACTAAGAGCTAGTTCTTTAAAAAGATAAAACATTAGACACTCAAAGGAAAAAAGAGGACTCAAAATCAGAAATGAAAGAGAAGTTGCAACTGACACCACAGAAATACAAAGCATTACAAATGGCTACTACAAAAATTGTACATCAACATATTGGACAACCTGGAAGAAATAGGTAAATACCTAGAAACATACAATCTTTCAAAACTGAAAAGGGAAGAAAAAGATAATCTGAACAGACCAATTACTAGTAATAAATTTAATCAGTAATCAAAAAGCTCCCAACAAACAAAAGTCTAGGACCAGCTGGCTTCACAAGTGAATTCTACCAAACATAAGAGTTAATACATATCCTCAAACTTTTTCAAAAAAACTGAAGAGGAAGGAATGCTTCCAAATTCATTCTACAAAGCCAGCATTAACCTGATACCAAAAAGAAAAATACTATGACAAAAGAAAATTCCAGGCCAATATCCTTGATGAACATGATGCAAAAATCCTCAACAAACTGAATTCAACAATACATTAAAAGGACCATTCACCATGATCAAGTGAGATTTATTCCAAGTAAGCAGGGATGGTTCGATATCCACAAATCAGTCAACGTGATACATCGCATTAACAAAAAAATGATAAAAAAATCACATGATCGTCTAAATGGTAGAAAAGGCATTGGATAAAATTCAGCATCCATTCATGATAAAAACTCTCAACAATGTGGGGATAGAAGGAATATACCTCAACATAATAAAGGCCATATATGAAAAACCCACAGCTAACATCATACTCAAGGGTAAAAAGCTGAAAGCGTTTCCTCTAAGATCAGGAACAAAACAAGGATATCCACTCTCACCACTTTTATTTAACATAATACTAGAAGCCCTAGCTGCAGCAATCAGACAAGAAAAAGAAATAAAAGGCATCCCAATTGGTAAGGAAGAAGTAAAACTGTCACTATTTGCAGATGACATGATGCCATATATAGAAACCCTAAAGACTCCACCAGAAACTTATTAGAATAAATGAATTCAGTAAAGTTGTAGGATGCAAAATTAATATCGAGAAATCTGTTGCATTTCTATACGCTAATAATGAATTATAAGAGAAATTACAAAAACAATCTCATTTACAACTGTATCAAGAACAATAAAATACCTAGGAATAAATTTAACCAAAGAGGTGAAAGACCTGTACTCTTAAGACATTATTAAAGAAATTAAAGATGATACAAATAAAAAGATATACCATTCTCATGTATTGGAAGAATTAATATTGTTAAAATGTCCATCCACACTACCCAAAGCAATCTACAGATTCAGTGCAATCCCTCTCAAAATACGAAAAGCATTTTTCACAGAACTAGAATAAATAATCCTAAAATTGGTATGGAACTCCAAAAGTCCCCAAATAGCCAAAGCAATCTTGAAAAAGGACAAAGCTGGAGGTATCACAATAACAGATTTCAAACTATAGTACAGAGCTATAGTCATGAAAACAGTATGGAACTGGCACAAATATAGACACACAGATCAATGGAACAGAGTAGAGAACCCCAAAATAAACTGTACTTATATGGTCAATTAATCTACAACAAAGGAGGCAAGGATACACAATGGGGAAAAGACAGTCTCTTAAATAAATGGTGTTGGGAAACCTGGGCAGCTACACAAAAAAGAATAAAACCGGATCATTTTCCTATACTATTTACAAAAATAAAATTGATTAAAGACCTAAATGTGGGGCACTTGGGTGGCTCAGTCATTAAGCGTCTGCCTTCAGCTCAGCTCATAGTCCCAGGGTCCTGGGATCGAGCCCCAAATCGGGGTCCCTGCTTGGCGGGAAGCCTGCTTCTCCCTCTCCCACTCCCCCTGCTTGTGTTCCCTCTCTCGCTGTGTCTCTCTGTGTCAAATAAATTTAAATAAATAAATAAATAAATAAATAAATAAATAAATAAATAAATAAATAAATAAAATAAAACAAAGACCTAAATGTAAGACTTGAGACAGTAAAACTCCTAAAAGAAAATATAGACAAGTAATACTCTTGAACATTGGTCTTAGCAGTAATTTTTTGGATCTGTCTCCTCAGACAAGGGCAACAAAAGCAAAAATAAGCAAGTGGGACTATATCAAAATAAAAAGCTCTTTCACAACAAAGAAAATCATCAACAAAACAAAAAGGACACCTACAGAATGGGAGAAGATATTTGCAAATAATATATTCAGTAAGGATTAACATCCAAAATATATTTAAAAACTCATACAACTCGTAGCCAAAAAAACAAACAATGGAATTTAAAAATGGACAGAGGATCTGAATAGATGTTTTTCCCAAAAAAAGACATACAGATGGCTAACAGACACATGAAAAGATGGTCATCATCACTAATCATCAGGGAAATGCAAATCAAAACCACAGTGAGATATCACCTGACATCTGTCAGAATGGCTCGTATCAAAAACACAAGAAGTAACAAGTGTTAGCAAGAATATAGATAAAAGGGGACCCTCTTGCACTGTTGGTCTATTGTTGAGAATGTAAATTTGGTGCAGCCACTTTGGAAAACAGCATGGAGGTTCCTCAAAAAATTAAAAAGACAAATACCATATGATCTAGTAATTGTACCACTGGGTATTTACCCAAGGAGAACAAAAACACTAATTTGAAAAGATATATACTTCCCTATGTTTATTACAGCATATTTACAATAGCCAAGATAAGGAAGCAACCTAAGTATCCACTGATAGATGAATGAATAAAGAAGATATTGTGTACACACACACACACAAGAATATTACTCAGCCAGAAAAAAGAATGAAATCCTGCCATTTGTGACATGGATAGACCTAAAAGGTGTTATGCAAGGTGAAATAAGACAGAGAAACAGAAATACCATATGATTTCACTTATATGTGGAATCTGAAAGACAAAACAGAAACAGATTTATAAATACAGAGAACAAAGTGGTGGCTACCAGAAGGGAAGGGAATAAGAAGATGAGTGAAATAGGCGAAGGGGATTAAGAGGTACAAACTTCCAGTTATAAAATAAATAAGCTTTTATTTTATTGTAAATAAAATGGGGTATAAGTACAGCATGAGGAATGTAGTCAATAATATTGTAATAACTTTGTATGGTGACAGATGGTAACTATACTTAACTGTGGTGAGCATTTTATAATGTATATAAATGTCGAATCACTATATTATACACCTGAAATTAATATAATATTGTATATCAACCAAACCTTAAATAAAAGCAAATAATTTTTAAAAAAATAAAGGACTTGCCTGCAGTAAAAATAAAAAAAACAAGATGATCAGATTATGATAAGTGCCCTGAAGGAAATGAATAGGGCCATGTAACTGATAACAAGGAAAGACAGAGAGCTACTTTAGGGTCATCAGAGGAACAGACAACTGAGCAGCCGTTCAGGGGAGAACATAAGAAAATGTATTGTGGGCACAAATCTGATATGAGAAAGAACCTGGTGTAATGGAGGAATAGAGGGAGGCCAGTATGGTTGTATGGTATTGAGGAATGAAGTTGGAAAAGGAGGCAAGCCTGATAATGAAGGACCTTGGAAGCCACCACAGGGAAAACCAGGAAGGGCTTTAGAAGGAATGATCTAAGTATAGTTTCCATATTTTTAAGCTTATTCATGTGGCTGTGGAGAACCAACTGTAGGAAGCAAGAATGGAAAGGCTCAGCATGTTAATTCTGGTGAAAGTGAAGGAGGCTTAACCTAGTAGCAGTGGAAATGTAGGACTGACACAATTTGCTGGTGGATTAGATATGGAGGAGAAGAGAGGAGCCCCAAGAAGAAACCCTAAGCAACTGAGTAAACTTTGCTCCATTTATTAAGGTGGGAAAGACATTTACTCTCCCACCTTAAACAACTGGAAAAAAAAAAAAAAGAAAAACATATGAAAAATGGGTTTTAAATGTTGGACAATAGACAGTAAGAAAGGAATTAGATGAGTTGAGCCCCATGACTGCCCCAGATTACTGCTTACAGGCCATTTCTAGGCTGTGGTACAGGAAGGGGGAACCCAAACCAAACCAAGCAGTCTTGCTGTGTTGAGAAGACAGAGTTAAGAATTTGGAAAGGCCAAGACAGCTGGAATTTGCAAAAGACAGTACCAGAGAGAAGACAGCTGCATAGAGAGGACAGTTCCAAAAAAATGTGCAGAGGGTTCCTTTCAAGTTTTTAGGTAAGTACTGATCAGCGCAATACCTGTTGTTGGGAAATACCAAACAAGGAAAGAACTACCAAAAAGAAGCAAGCAGAGACATTCTGAGCTGGGACTAGTTTGTGTTCCCACAGTCAAATTGGAAAAACCTCATATAATAAACAAGACATTGGGGTGACTACTCAGGAGGATACTGCTTCAATAGGGGAGAAAAGTAGCCCTGAGTAAATGGTGCTCTGGCCCACCCAACAAAGCTTCAAAGCAAGCCTTGAAGTGATCAAACTGTTTCCAAGTAACTTAACTGTATTCCAAAACAAAGCTCAAGAAGATTTAAAAGAATACACACATGTACACAAAAACCTAACACCCAATAGTATAAAATTCACATTCAATTAAAAAATTACCAGGCATGCAGAGTAGCAGGAAAATATTACCCAAAGTAAGAAAAATCAATCATTAAAAACAAACCCCAAATGACACAGATGATAACTCTTTTAATGTCCTTATTTACTATTTCTATTATAAATATATTATGTTAAACAAGATAGAGAAAAGAAATGGCATATTAAAGAGAGACGTGAAAGATTTTAAAAAATCGAATTTCCACCGACAAAAATACATTAGGTAAGATTAACATCAAATTAGTGCAGAAGAATAAGTTGGTGAACTTTGAAGGCATGGCAACAGAAACTATCCAAACTTAAAGACAGAGAAAGAAGATGGGAAATGTACAAAACATCAGTAAGGTGTGGGACAACTTCAAGCAGACTAACGTACATGTAAATTGGAGTCCCAGAAGGAGGTAGGAGAGAGTGGGGTAGAGAAAACTTATTTTAGGAAATTTTTTCCTAAAAAATTTTAACAGCCAAAATTAAACTATATAAATCCACAAGTCCAATAAGTGCAACAAACCCCAAGCACAAAAATCATGAAGAACACTACACCAATGCACATTATAATTAAACTGCACAAATTTGATGATAAAAACCTTAAATTAAAAGCAGCAGAGGTTTAAAAAGATAAGAATGACAGCAGACTTCTTATCAGAAACAACACAATCCAGGAGATAGTAGAGCAACAACACCTTTAAAACTAGAGTTTTAGACCCAACAGAAATACCTTTCAAATATAGATTCAAAAATCTTTCTCAACAAGGTAGCCTTGTACACATTGCTAAAAGGATTTTGGATTTTTATCTTCAAAGTAACTGTAAGCCACCAGTAGATTCTAAATGATGAGTTGCATTTTAGGAAAGACACATTAACTTTCTGAGAATAGATTGGGCTTGGGGGACAAGGGGCCATATCCCCCATTGGGGGTAAGAGCAAAGGAAGCATAAACTTGTTCACAAAAACAAAGAATGTTGACATCAACTGGGGTCATAAAAGTGGGTATGGAGCACAGTGCATTGATTAGAAAAATATCTAGAAGACAGTTAACTCAAAGATTTAGTGCCTGGACGTGAGGTTTGAGGAAGAGGAAGGAATCAAGAATGATTCCTGTTTCCAACATGAGCAACTATACTTATATATAATTTTATCCACCTGAAAAAATAGTTTAAACCAATTATACACTATCTAAACTGTAACTGCAACAACCCATCAGAGTAAACTATTCTAAATACTGCATTTAAACTAAACAATCACTGTGTAAAAGTTGCAAATAAAAACCAAACAGCACTTTTTTGTAGGAGAAAAGATACAGGCATGAGCTTTGTTCATCTGAAATTTGCACTGAGCTCAATCTTGAATTGACACAGTTGCTATTGTTCCTTATGGAAAATAGTAAAAGCATGATTTCTAGGAGCCATCTGATGAGACACTGAAGTGCCTTTACAAAACAGTTGCTTCTACAGGCAAAATCACTATAATGGGGCTGTACCTTTAAAAGAAATTATAACTCTCATGCAGCATTTAAAATGGCTGCAAATTTTTGGTAATCCCTCCTAGTTCAGAAACCTTGCTTCCTATGTTTCTATCTTCACAGATAGGAATCTATTGGTGAAAGAATTTCTAAAGGTCTTAAATAGTAACAACAAATGTTTGTCATGGATTTACAAAGTGCTACATACTATATGTTGCATTAAGTATCTTACATGATAATTTCATTCAACCTTAAAAACTCTGTTAGGTAGTGTTCCATGAGTCATGGAACACTACATCAAAAACTAATGATGTGATGTATGGTGATTAACATAACATAATAAAATAAATAATAATAATAAAAAACAACAACAAAAACTCTATTAGGTAGTAGTTATTCCCAATTAACAGATGAAGAAATTAAGATGCACAGAGTTTAAGTAATTTGCCTTAGATTATGAAGCTAGTAAGTTGCAGAGCCAAGGATATGAACCCAGATAGGTCTGATCTCAATCCCTGGACTCTTGAGAAGTTCATCTTTAAACTTCAAAAATCTTCCTGCACATTAGGATATGTATAATTGATACAGTGATTTTGTGTGGGTACATACTTTACATGTAATACCTAGGTTTCTAAATCATTTCCTTCTAAAAATTCACAAAATGAAGGGGAATGAAAGTACGCTTATCATGTGATGAGCACTGACTAAAGTATAGAATTGTTGAAACATTATATTGTATGCCTGGAAATAATATAACACTGCAGGTTAATTCTATTTCAATAAAACAATAAGATAAAATAAAAATTCATAAAATCTTATCATTAAAATGTTCAGGCTTTCAATTTGCCTCAAGAGATTCTTCAAAGCAGACAGTTTAAGAGCAAGAATTGTATGTAGGCTACGAGAGTTTTCATTAACATATGTATATGCATGTGTGTGTAACGGAATGCTGATGAGAGAATCCAAATCATCAAACGCATACCTTGGCTGAGTACAGACACTAAGGACCTGAAATTGAACCGAGGTTCGGGTACCTTGAGTCGTACAACAGACAAACTATCCACGCTTCACTTAGCACTGTGATAGGCAACAGGCTCAGATGATTTATGTGGAAACCGTGTTATATGATGGACATGAACGAGTACGTGAATTACATGGCACATTACATGCATGTCTCTTTCCCCAACTATGCAGTTCTTAGGATTAACTTCAAAACTGTAAACGAATTAAAATTTTCTCCACCATTAACTGAAATTCACAGGTTAAAAGGTTATTTTTGTTTCTGCAACAACAACAAAAAAGCCTAGAAACTGAAATTCTCCAAGAAAATTCTTTTATTTGGGTTCAACCTAAAATAGTTTAAATTTGATATCTCTCTGCTAGAGAAAAGAAATCTCCAATTGTTTAGACTTAATAGAAAAGTACTGAATTTGCCATTTCCAAGAGAGGATATTTTCTTCATGCGTCAGGCATCTACCATAGTAACCCAAAAGACTACTTGCAGTAAATATAACTGTCACAGCACTAAAGTGCCCCAAATCAACTTTCCTAACTTAGAAAGTTGTCCTTATGTTACCACAACGCACGATCTTTAGTCTCCTGACTATTCATATTATTTGAAAACCATGAAAATACAACTTTTGGCGTGCACGCCCCGCTGGAAAAAGATCTGTTCCTCTGAAAACACCATTCATAAGATTAGGCAGAGCTGAGGGCACCTCTGTGTGTGAACAAGCAGGTGGGTGTCTCATGGTTTCTGCAAGTCCTCTCCTTCCTCAATGGGTCAGTACTGATGCCAGCAAGGGAAGAGTCCAGGCACATGGCTCAGCTTATGACTTAATTTTCCACAGCTAAGAAAAGAAAATCACCAGAATAAGTTAGTTTTAAGACCAACAGTTGGGGTTTCCAGGGCACTTACATGACTATGAACCGAGAACCCTTTACATGAGAAGAACAATAGCAACCACAGAACACCATAGAAAAGAAACATGAACAATTCCCAGGGTCAGAAATGACATACTGCAGTTCATGGGTCTTGGATTTTCATTCGTTCTACCTCTGTGCATTTCCCTAGATGAGAGGATGACCATTCCCCAGCCCATGCTACTAGACTGACATGAGAGTCAAACTTGATTTTGTGTTCCATTCAAGAGCACAGTCTATTCTACTTGTGTCAAATGAGAAAACCTAAGCCCAGAAGCCTGTGCACCACCATCAAAATGTCTATTTTACCTCAAGAGAGCTTTCCATGCCACTCTCCAGTCTCCCAATATCTCTCTCTCTCTCTCTCTCTCTCACACACACACACACACACACAGGGTGAAGAGCAAGGATTCTAATATTTGGTAATTTTTAAGACTAAGGCAGATGCTACAGAGTACTCGTCCCACTTACTCTTATATTAAATCCTAGAAGATCACTTATAACACCTGAGACAGCAGAAAGGATAACGACTCGTGTGATATTGTAGATTAAGGGATTCATTGTCAGTCCATAGAGTCTAAATGGTGTGTCCAGCTCCTACAAAAGCAGGAAAGAACAGAGATGAGATCCATGACCTCTCGATGGCCCCCAGTGATTTCTGGGCTGTTTTTTAGGCCTTGGGTGAGGATGACTGCGTCAGGCCATCTTTCCTTCATGTTCAATAGCTGCTTTCTAAAAACCTGTAATGGACTCTCATCTACTTTTCCACTAGCTAAGTGTTTAAAGGTGGGTTTGCGCGGTATGTTATTTGTGATTTTTAAAAAATCTTAATTTGAAAAATGTGACAGACGTCAGCAATAACCAGAACCTGGGTAACGAGATGAGAAATTTTTTTCTATATAGTCATTAACCCCAAACTATCAAGTTGGCATTTTTAATGTACACAGCCCGGCATCTATCTGCTGCTAGGGTCTCCTCCAATAAGTAAAGCATTGATTTAAGTGCTAGTAAAAGTGTATCACAGGGTGTTACTTACTTTCAATAACTTGGTGGACAGCTTTAATACATTATTTACTAGAGTAAGCTGTTCTTTCTTATTCGGCTTTTTCTCCATCTTAAGATATAAATTAATCTAAGGGGAAAAGGAGAGATTTAGGTAAATGTCCAGAAAAAGATAGGTACATACTGCATAAAGTCTGGCAGATTCAAGAGTAATATTTTCAAATAAAATAAATTTTGAAATTCCTGCAGTTATTTCTACGGAACACATATGTCACATACCCTACCCCCCAGCCCACTCAGTCACATCTGGCAAAGAAAAGCCACTTAGTGGATTTAAGAAAAAAAAAAAAGTAATTTAAATATCAAAACAATGAAAGTGTAATACTAATTTTAACAATTAACATGTGCATCCCTTCAGTTCAAAAGCTCTGTCTTACTCCTTTTGGTGTCCCCCACATAATCTAACATCCTCGGAAACACTAATGGGATGTAAGAAGATAGCTGCTGATTTTCACTTGCTATATTTCCTTATTTTTTCTCTGCTAGGAAATATTCTCCACTATAATTCTAAGGTAAAAAAAGAAAATCTAATGATACCAAAATGTTTTTATTTACAACTTATGGATAAACATGAAATCAAAAACAAACAAAACCCCTTTATACTACTCTCTGTTTATAAGAAACCTTTCCCAGTCTTAAAATCCAGTCACATACTAAAGAGCAAGCATTTTCCAAACACTGAATGTATTCTATGGCTGATATAGAAGAAATGCAAGAAGCTTATTAAACATGCTTAAATGACAAGTACTATAAAGATCTAATACTTGATGTGAAATATGAGATTAAAGACATGCTCCATTACCACCAATAAAGATACCTTTATAATATACAAAATACTTCCAGTCCATAAGATCTTAATTCTTACAATCCTGGGACCAGGTGGGGAAGATTATTACCCTCATGTTAAAAAGAGGAAACACTTATACAGTAGCATATATTGGAGCAGAGTGACTTGTAAGTTCATACAGCTAGAAAGTGCTAAACCTAGACTCAACCCTGAATCTTCTGCACAGATCTTATTATGCCATCTCTAACCACAGAACCAAACTGACAAGGACCAATCAATACCTGCTCAGTAAGTAATATTGAAACATTGCTGTATTTCTTATTGGTTTCAGACCCCAGTGAAGCCAGACGCAGTAAGAAAAGTAGTAAAGCTGTTTCCCAGATCAAAAATTCCCAATTATAAGCATCATTCAGGAAAGTTTTATGCCCTTGGAGAACCTATACAAAGGACCAAAAAAAGTTAAGTTTTTCATTTGTCTCAAAATCTCTAGTTACTCCTTTACTCTAGCAATTTAAAAAGATTTATAAGTTACCAATATTTTATACTCAAAGCAGGAGAGTTTTAGTACTCATATAAAGCATTCTCTATTTAACTAATCACTATTTCTTTAAGTTCTCTGGTTTTTCCCTTTGCATGAAAGACAGCAAAAGTCTGGAAGTAACAAAGAAGGAAAACGTACAACAAGTAAAATAAGACAAAGACATTTCCAGCCTTTTAACCACTAGTGTGCCTACTCATGATTATGTGGTGACCATTTTTTAAAGTATTAAGTTTGCATTTATATGACTAGTAGAGCTTCCTAAAACATGTGGCCCATCCTGCTGGTATGACTAGAAAATCCTGAGGATCGGGCTCTTTACTCCATTTGAGGAGTAGTAACAACAACAAATAACAGCAGCAGCAGTTACCAGTTATCAAATGCCTATTATGTGTCAAGTTTTCTGGTAAAAGTCTTTGGTTTTTTCAAAATTTACTCAAGTAAAGCCCAAGGTAAAATGGAACTGACTGAAAAAGTATACAGAGAACCCTAACTGAAACCAAATGCTGGCCTTCGGAAAACCAGTAAGTCCCAGAGCAGCTCCCTTCTCCATCTCTCTTCCTCGAGGGCCATTTGGGCTCTCATCACCGCTCCTCTTAGCTAATTCTGTTGCCTTCCAAGATCCTTGGTTACTGCTCCCCCAACTTTGACTTTCTCCAGCTTTGGTTTATCATAGCACCCTACTAGCCCCACTGATCCCCAGACCTTTCTTCTCCAAAGTCCACCACTGTTATCTCAGCTTTTCAGTTCTAAGTCCCAAAAGAGGGATACATTTAGCTTAGCCTGGGTCAAGTGTTCACCCCTGCCAATCAGTTATAACTGGGGGATGAAAGTAGCAGCTAGTTGCAACCTAGGTCCACCTCTTCGGCAGGGTGGTTTGTTGTGTAGCAATAGATAACACACAAACCACAGCCAAATGGCTATAAAACCAAACACAAAGAAAAACTCTTAAAACCAGCCAGAGAAAAAGGACATTAGGACATTTTAAAGGACATTTAAAAGGACAAAAGGACATTTTAAAAGAGCAGCAATAAGACAAACAGCTGACTTCTCAAGATAAAACATGGAAATCAGAAGAAAACAGAATCCTAACAGTACTGAAAGTAACTGGCAACCTAGAAATGTATATTCAGCAAAAGCATCCTTTAAACATGAAAGTGATAAAAGACATTTTCAAACAAACAAAAACAGAATTCAACACCAAGCAGATTATTCTAACAGGAGGAAAATAATCCCAGAGAAAAACAGAAATGCAAAAACTAATGAAAAGGGTAAATACGTAGGTAAATATAAATGAATGACTACAAAAAATAATAATCTTATGGGTTTAAAATATATGTAAAATTTAAGTGAAAGACACTAATAATGGGTGAAAGGGTAAATGAGATAAAGTGTTCTAAGGTTCTAGCATTACCAAGGGAGCAGAAATTAATAATTTATTGGACTATAATAAGCTAAGGATGTATGTTGTAATCTCTGAGATCAGTAGTAGTAAAAGAACATATAACAAGTTAACAGAGAGGATTAAATGGAATACTATAAAATATTAGATTAATAAAAGATGTCAAGAAAGGAGAGAAGAAGGAAAATTAACAGGTAGACCAAATAAGAACTAAATAGTATTTGTATTTATGGTAATTACATTAAATGTAAATGAGCCAGACAATCCAAAACACTAAGACTGTGAAGCTAGATTAAGGAAAAAGCAACCAAAAAAAAAAAAAAAAAAGGATATGTTGATTACAAGAAACATGACTCAAATATGAAGACAAAATAAATGAAAGGGTGGACAAAGGTAACATGCAAAAACTAATCAAAAGACAGCTAGTGTGGTTAATATCAAATAGAGTAGACTTTAAGTTAAGAAACATTAGATTCAGAGACATTTCATAAGATCATGAAAGATAAAGAGCCTGACACTTTTCTAGGTTAAAGAAGACTAAAGAGACAGGATAATTAAATGCACCATGTGGTCCTGGGTTGAGAAAAAGAATAACTATGAAGGTCATAAAAGTCAGCTTCAAGATATATGAAGTGAAAATTGACAGAAATAAAGGGAAAAAAAGAGAAATTCACCATCATAGTGGAATTGAACACACCTCTGCCAATAGCTGAGAATAAGCAGACCAAAAACACAAGTGAGGATGTAGGAGATGCAGGCAACGTAACAAATAAACTTGAACTAATTTACGTAGAGAGAATGTTGCTCACCCAAACAACAGAATACAAGTTCGTTTAAAGCACTGATGGGGATTTAATGAAACGGACCATATGCCAGATAATAAAGCAAGCCTCTACAAATTTCAAAGGAGTGAAAACATTCAGAATATATTCTCTAACCACAGTAGAATTAAGTTAAAACTCAATAAATGGAAAAATACAAGAATAAGCCTGTAACTTCTTATAGTGAAGAAAGCACAAAGGTCCACCTGGTAAAAAAAGGTACAGGGACCTACTGAAAGTATACAGGAGGGAGCCTCAAGGGTCTCCCACTGGCCAAATCTGAGACAATATAGGCATTAAAAGAAATAGAGTAATCGATTACAATCTATTGGATAAAAATCAGAATATATGAGTCCATAATGGAAGGAAGGAAGGAAGAAAAGAAAGGAAAAGGAAAAGGAAAAGGAAAGGAGGGAGGGAGAAAGAAAGGAAGAAAAGAAGGAAGACGGGAAGAAAGGAAGAAGAAACAAAGGAAAGGTCAACCAGAGAGTGACAGCTAACAGATGTGTGGAAGGAAAGATGGAATTAGAAAAATCACTATTTTGTAACCCTCGTGGCATGACAGCCTTATTATCAATCAAAAATTGCCAACTAAAATTAGAGTGATCGTAGAGTAATGAGAATTACTTTATTCTCATTTCAAAAGTAAGGAAAATTAACAAGTATTCAAAATAGCAAAAGAAATTTAGATACATTTAAAAAAAATAGATATTTCAACACAACCATGCTGGTGCCTTGCTCTTGAGAAATAAATTTTTGTCACACACACACACATGTCTAAAATAGATAGTGAACCATATTAGAATTTCCATTTTTCATTAAAACAAATATGAAACTCTTACCTGGGCACAGCAAATGAAAGCAATTGAAAGTGTCAGCAAGAAGACTGAAGATACAACCACATCAACTGAACGCTGTGGACCCCGTCTCTGTGGAGTGAGACACAGAAGTTAATGTTTAAGATTACAGTTGGAGACAGCAATGGCCCTCACATCATTCACATTCTGAATCTAACTACATTAATGTGAAAATAAATGTTTATAAGAAGTTTCTGATGGAGACGAACCATGAGAGACTACGGACTCTGAGAAACAAACTGAGGGCTCTAGAAGGATGGGGGGGTGGGGGGAGGGGTTAACCCGGTGATGGGTATTAAGGAGGGCACGTACTGCATGGAGCACTGGGTATTATACGAAAACAATGGATCATGGATCACTACATCAAAAACTAATGATGTAATGTATGGTGATTAACATAATAAAAAATTAATTAATTAAAAAAAAAGTTGTTTCTGGCATAGGATTTTAACACATTTTGGACATGTTTAACTTTAAGTACTGAAATTCATGCTGTTCCAAATTAAGGGTGTGAGTGATTCACTGATGTATTTTCAGCTGGAATATTTTCCAAAATGTCAGAGAAAGATGCAACTTTCAATTTATGATTCTGCCCTAGGAATTTAAATTGTCTTTTCCCTTTCTAAGCTCTTTTTTACTGACCTCTACCAGCTCAGCAGATAGATCACTTCCAACTTGGAGTCCAGTACGTCTGCCGGCCACTGATACGATCTGTCCAGTGCACAGAACTTAACTACAGTGCCCACTCAGTATCTGCTGCCAGCAAATTTCAGTGAGCAGGTTTCCTGCATATTCTCGCACACACTCTCTACGGTTAGTCGGATGAAACTCACCTTTAGAAAGGAACGCAGTGATAACCATATCTTAATGTTCTCCACTTTTTTAAGTCTGAAATGAGGTATTTCATATTTCCTAGCTTTCCTGGCAGAGGTAATATGGCTGAAGAGTTTTGCAAATAAAAATCTCTAGAGGAGGTTTAAAAAAAAAATCACAAAGTAAAAGGTACATGTGTGTCTCTGTGTATATATTTATATAATTGTAAACAATATTCCCAGTATATACGCAATAATAAAAGGATGAAATTCTAATCAGGGATCACTTAGATCAAGTCAATAGCTCATGACCCTATTGCTTCCAAAGCACATCCCACTGTAATCTATGTCTTCATAATATGGTACACTCCTGACATTTTCAAGGAATATTCTTGGGAGACCTTTGTGAATCCCCAACTTCACAAACACAAATGTTTATACAGCATTCTGGTCTAGACTTTCCATTCACAATCACGTTTTTCGCACATATCACCAAGATATCAAGTCCTCAAATCCTAATTCTAATCAAAATCCAATAACCCTATTTCTCACTTGACCATTTCCCACAGAAACATTCTGGCATTGGGAATAACTACATACGTTACGAATGAGCAAGCACAAAGGCACACTGGGGCACAGGAGCTATGTATGCAGTCCGCCAGGCTCAGTCCCTGCCCAAGCCATGGACTCCTACACATGCGCTCGGCAAAATGCCAGATTACCACATGTCATTTGTGAATAATCAATATCATGAGTGTTTAACCCACAAATACCAAAAGCCCACTCATCAATCCTTCATTGCTCACATTAACTTTTGGAGAGAGAACAAATCAAGAGAACAAAGTCAATTCAATGGAATATCATACGCGAAAGGAGAGGCAAGAAATTTTACTCAATGCTATACTGACCTGTTTATATGTTCTCTCTGCCACACACATCATGAAAAAAAAAATCCAAGTAAGACACAATCGTTCAAAAAAATTAATCATAGACAAAATAATAATAGGTGTAACAGGTGGTGCCCCACAAAAGAGAGTCATGATCTCCTCAGCTGAAATGGACTTTAGCTGGTCAAGGCTCTTCTCACGGAAAAGTCGATGTAAAAAAGGAAAAAATGCTAATCCAATGGTGACGACATTTCCCAGCATCTGATAACCTACTCCTTGCTGATATGCATTAACCTGGGAATTAATTTAAAATGCCCATCACTATTACACAGTTAAACGGAGTTACGAAGCAGTGTTTACCAAGTACTACTTAGATTATTAAAAACTAAATCTGTTTTATAGCTAAAAGAAGTACAGATTTATGACTCTTTGATTTCATTAAAAATTAGGCTTGACTGAGATAAGGAATATTTGCAGAGTGTACCTGAATAATTGATCATGTTCACAGAGAACTTTGTAACAGATAACAAAAATATACTACCAAGTAAATATTCTAACTACAAAACCAAGAAAATATGTATTTGTGTTTCAAAAGCAGAGTCAGTGTTCTGATCACTGAATAGATCCCGTGAAATAGCTGATCATTAAAACAGCTTTTCTGAAAAGTTTGAAAACTCATGAAATCTTACCCTGCTCATGATGATGCCACTTATTTCCAACACAGACATATCCATCTTTTTGCACTCATTCCCTTCCCAGATGATTGCACTAACTCGATCAGAGGCAGGACTTGAGTTCTGAAGCCAGAATAAGTGGTTCTAAAAAAGAAAAACATAAAACTATTTCCATCCACCCTTCTTTCTTTCCTCCGTTGGATTTTCCCCCCGTTGTTCAGTTCTCAGGCCACATACACCAGTGCTGGCCCCTCATCATTCTACTCTCTCCTTCCCAGAGCTCATCGTGCCGATGGCTGCCTCCATGATGCTCATCTCTGGTCCCTTCTTCTTCAATAAGCCAATTTCTTACCTGGAGAGAGGCTCAATGTCTTCTGTGATGACGGGAAGCGGGACTCCGGGATCTTCAAGGTGGCTTCCCTGTCTAAAGGTCTGGAAGTGAGGCTAAGCTTGGTGTACTTGCGGCATGTTAAGGAGAAAAGTATTTCTAGAGCAATGTGACCATAGCGGAGGTGGCAGGAAGTTAGGTAGGAGAGCTGCTAATAGGCCTTACATGTTACATGAATGACTGAGGAGTTAAGCCTGTCTCTGGCCTCATCAGGACACAGAAAAGCATAGAAAACTCAGAGGCTTTAGAAAGCTCAAGATTTAAAAAAAAAAAAAAGTGCCATTTCCTTCTGCCATATAAATTCTTATTCTTCAAGTACCAACTCAAGTCCCATTTCACCAATATAGTCAGCTCATCGCCACAAGCCTCACTACTCTGCCTTCCTCTGAAATTAAAGACCCTTAGAGTCTATCCCAGACAAATTAGCATGTAATTATATGCTACTTTTCTAATGTCCTCTACTTACTTCCCCTATAATCATCTTGTCCTCAAACTAAAATATAAATTTCTAAAAAAAAGGATCACATGGTGTATTTCTTCTCTTTCTACTACAATGCTTAGCATAATGCTGATGATCATTTATTGATTTATTCACTGATGATGCCAAAAAAATGTATGAAGTGCTGACTATGTAACATGTGCCACAGATACAATGGAGAACAAGACAGACGCTATCCTTGACATCAAGGAGCTTACAGACTGATGGAAACATGATTAAATAAAGTTACTACATGGCATGATAAGGGAAGGAAAGAGGGCTTCAGGAGCAAATGAGAAAGGCTTCCTAAGGAAGTATCATTCAAGCCAAGATCTGAAAAAGAAAAAGGAGTGAGCCGAAGGAACGAGTATCAGAGAAAAGTGTGTTCCAGGCAAATAAGCCAGAGGCACATGGGGAACGGTACAGCTCTGAAAGAAGTTCAATTGCGGTAAAGTAGAGCATGTGAGAGCAGGGGGAGGAATGATCAGAGATGAGACTGTATCGGAGCAAATAAACAGAAGCAAATAATCCCAATGGGGGGAAATCGCAGTTAAAGGATTTTAAGGGGAATGACATCATCGTGGCTGCAGTATGGAAGAGCAGATGAAGGGAGCAAGCCCACAGAAGCTGTTAATGATCCAGATAGCCCCAAGGAGGGAAGACACAAGTAGACAGACAGATATTATTCAGTGAAGTCAAGAGGATGTGAGGACCGATTAGAAACATGCTGGGGAGGGTGGGGTCTCCAAGGTTTCTGCCTCAGATGGCCAGTGATGGCATTCAAAAATACGGGGAATAAAAGAAACACAGGGTAGGTAGGGGAATTGGGAAATGAATTCCTTTTGATATGGTGAGTTTCATACTACCTTATATAGGCCTTAAAATTATACTGAAAATCCCAAAAGTGCAAAGAAGGTCAAGATCATCAGGATGCTATGCATAACTACTGAGGGCTAATGTAATTTAGATGAATTCTCAGACTGAATGTAAAGAATATTTAGATTCAAGCTCTGATAGCAAAATTGAAAGAAAAAAGGCTTAAAGCTTTAATGAGAAAAGTGTATGTTGTTTCTGGTTAGTCTTTAAGAATTGTATACATCTCGGGTGCCTGGGTGGCTCAGTCGTTGAGCGTCTGCCTTCAGCTCAGGTCATGATCCCGGGGTCCTGGGATCGAGCCCCACATCGGGATCCCTGCTCGGCGGGAGGTCTGCTTCCCCCTCTCGCACTCCCCCTGCTTGTGTTCCCTCTCTAGCTGTCTGTCTCTGTCAAATAAATAAATAAAATCTTAAAAAAAAAAAAAAAGAATTGTATACATCTAACGAAGCAAGTTTTGTTTTTTTTTTTTAAGGATTTTATTTATTTATTTGACAGAGAGAGACACAGTGAGAGAGGGAACACAAGCAGGGGGAGTGGGAGAGGAGGAGAGGGAGAAGCAGGCTTCCCGCCGAGCAGGGAGCCCGATGCGGGGCTTGATCCCAGGACCCTGGGACCATGACCTGAGCCGAAGGCAGAGGCTTAACGACTGAGCCACCCAGGCGCGCCCTAAAGCAAGTTTTTTTTCATGAAAATGTGTAACCTAAATCAATGGTACCCTAGAGTCAAGAAAATTCACTAATTCAACAAATGAATATCCACCACCCAGTACTTATAAATCACTGTGGAAATATTTAGCCTAAAGAACAACCACCAAAACAGAAGAAATCATGATCACTGCCACCAAACATCTGAAATGTTGATTTGAGACCACTTCTAACCATTCAATCTATCCAGCAGTGGAAAAAGCTCTCTCATGAAGTAACAATCACTCCAGCAGCTCTAGAAGTATTTAAGCAGAGGCCACTGATCATCTGATCGGGTACAAATAATAATGCTAACACTTATTAGGTGCTCACTCTTTGTCAGACATTGTGCTAAGCAATTTATATTACCTCATTAGATCTATCACAATAGTCCCAGGAAGTAGTAACTCTTATTACCACGTAAGAATTCCTACATCAGTTGGAAGGTTCAAATACCTTCTAAGGAATCTCTAATTCCAGACTATCTGATTTTGTGATGTTAATATAAATCCTAAAATTAAAAGCATCACTTGGTTTATACATTATTAGAGAACCAAGCAATGCCATTTCTTAGTAATTCATATATAACACCATGATGTCTAAGAAAATATGAGGTTGATGGACCAAACAACCCTGCTCACATAAAATGAACATTAAGGATCATTCTAAGGAAAATAATGAGAAAAAGTATTATGAATAAAAATTTAGGTTAGGGCAACTCCAGAGTACTCCCCCCTGAGTTCTAATCTCAACATTTTCACTTACAGATTATGTTCAATTTCCTCATCTCTAAATTAGAGATAATAATAATAGTATCTACCATATACGATTATGGTAAGGTCAAATGAGATAATACGGTACCTGGCTTGTAAATACAATGAGTATTGGCTATTATTACCGTCACCTTTACAGACCTGCTGAAAAACATCTTCTTTGGGGTCACGTTTGGTCCCTGAGTGAAGGGTATTCACATGGGCCCCCTCACTGTCACTGGTGACAGACGACCGGCACTCTGGGCCATGCAGCAGGTCGTCCCATAGCATATCCTCAGTCTCCGAGTCATGGCGGGTGCTTTCTGAGTCTCTTCTCAACATGTTGAGGCTTCGAGAGCCACCACTCATGCCCGACCTAGAGCCCTTTCAAGGAAAACAGAACACCAAAACTATATTTTTTTTCATTCATTTTTAAAAGCAATCATATATCTGAAATAAAAGTAAAACAAGTTATCTGTGGTGATGGCTGGCAAGCTTTTTTAAGTGGACCCCCACAAGGCTTCATGTAACAATAATACATTTTAACATGTCAGTGTTGAATTCTGATGATTCTCTAACAAGCAGGACTCTAAAAGGACTCCAAGAAGTTTTTGCCAAATCATGAGACGGCTCCACTCAAGTTCCCTGGGATGACAGTGACCTTTGCAAGCATATCCCAAGGATCTACCCTGGATATAGGTGTGGCCGAGCCTTCTGACATACCCAAAGTGTCCCCTACTCTAAATACCGTGAGCATGACTGCAGATCTAGTCACATCCCAGGGACCTGGCCAAACATGGAAAGGATAGTCAGGCTAAGAAAAGGATGTACGATGCAGCTCTCCTGCAGTACAAACATAAATATGCAAGTCTTTCCACAACCCTGATGGCCTTGTCAATTGAAACAAAAAAAACCACACTACCACCATCTACCCCACTCACCTCTGAATGATAACCTTCCAAATGGACAATATGCCCATGAGCTGCATCACGATATTTGCGGCTCCCACCTCTCAGGGGTCCTTTCTCAAAAATCTGTCTTCATCAGCATTAGTGCCACTTACAAAGGAATGATGCTTAAGAATGAGCTCCATACTCCAAGTAAATGTTAGGGAGCCTTTTGATCCTCTGGGGACTGAGGAAGCTCTTGCTGAGCATCATCTCATCCAGGATGCTTTTAAGATTAGAGTCAAAATGAAACAGAGCTCCTTCGCTTTCTGGGGGTGAGTAGCCACATGAAAGCTTCCAGATAGGTAGACAGACATTTGGTGGCAGGGGAGGCCAGGCAAATATAAGCACTACTTTAGGACAACCAATTAAAAAAGGCATGGATGACACTCGGGACTAGGCCTTGAACAGGGACCTGTCGAAAGGATACATTACCTGACTGAAGGCCGCTGATTCAAATTCCGATTCGACCAGACTATCCGAATCCCGCGTAATGTGACACCACTTGGGAGTGGTCTTCTTTACCTGCCAAAATGAAGCCAACAAACAGAGGGAAAACATGTCCAATATCTCATTACTTTTCAATGATTTAGGAGTTAATGCTGATACTTTCACAAACGAAAAATTACCTGAGTGTTTAGGTGCCTGGTAAGTATTGATTTTCTATTCTTAACTTCACAGCCGTTGTCACTTGAGGCCCCTTCCACACTCCTGCGCAACATCATCATCTGCGTCCGGGCTTCACCGTCCTCCTCACTAGACAGATCATCTGAAATCCCATTACCCAGATGCCTGAAAGCCTCCTACAAAGAGAACAGCAATTTCTTCATAGGGGACAGCCCAAAATACTCTAGTAAGCTGCACATGTGAAAACAAAAAAAGCATGTAAAAACGAAGAAATGATGAAAGGAAACCAAAACCGAACAAGCCTATATATTACTTGGGTCTCAATGAAGAAAAAGAGTGAACTCTCTTGGAACTTAACAGGCTCCCGGACGTATTACGAAGCGGTTAGAAGCACAGGCCTGCATCTGGGTCCCAGTCCTTCCACTTACTAACGATGTAAGCGGAGGCAAGTAACTAGCCTGAGGCTCCATTTCCTCATCTGAACAGTGATGGTAATAAAAGCACCTCTCTCACAGAGCTGTGGGGACAATTAGACGACTTACTACGTGTAAACAGTGCCCGGTTGCAGTTATGGCGCAAGAATATTAGCTAGTTTTGTAACGACTCAACACCACAGCCTAACAAATGAGAAAATATTTCAAGACTATACAATGGAAGTGTAGTTTTAGAAACAGAACATCTCTGCGACACCTAGAAAATAGTTTCCCAAACCTCTATCATATATATTCTCAACTGCATCTCTGGAATACGACACAGCGGCCTCAACACTGATCTGTTGATGAAACCTACCAGCCTACTGCTAAAGGCTGGATCACTAGCTGATGAAATAACAAGCTCTAGTCCTAGAAATGAAAAGACTGAACTATACCCTTCATGTGCTCTTCTCCTTTTGGTGTCCTGTGGTTTTACATTTCAATTATTTGTTAACAAGACAAATTACACAAACCTATTAGTATCTATTTGATATCTCTAGCAGAGTCTAAGAATAGCAAAATTTTACACAGGAAAGTAAAGATTTTGTTATATATAAATATATGTATATATATAATCATCTAAATCTTACCCTGTGGCACTTATCTCCATCTGAAAATTTTGCTTTCTCTCTTGTTTGCCACATTCTAATCTCTGGTCGACACTGTTTCTTCTTAATGATAGGATGCAGACAGCTTGAGTCATTGTCAGTTTCAGTCCCTTTGTTACATATCAATTTTACTCTTTTAATCCTAATTTTAAAAAAGAAAAAAATAAAGATTACTAGCTTGTTTTCTGAAAGTACTATCTTTCATGAAATCATTTGCTTTTGAAGAATTCAAGTTGATCCTTGAACAACACGGGTTTGAACTGCAGGTTCCACTTATTCGTGGATCTTTTCAAAAAATATAGTACAGCATTATAAATGTATTTCCTCTTCCCGATGATTTTCTCAATCACATTCCTTTTCCTCTAGCTCACTTTATTGTAAGAATACAGTACATAATACATATAACATACAAAATATGTGTTTATCAACTATTCACGTTACTAGTAAGGCTTCCAGTCAACAGGCACCCCTAGCCCCTGTGCTCAAGGGTCAACTGTATGTTATTCTGGAAATCAAGAAAATTCAGAAGCCACATTTTTCAGGCTTCTAGCTTGCCTGAGGGTATAGGAAGCCAGAATACAGGTATCTCTAGTCTCCAATTAATATTGAGAGCAAGCCTCTTCTTTTCAGTTTTGCAAGGAAGTGCTTTAGTCTTCACTCTCCCTCTCAAACATGGTACCAATGCCTACCTCACATCCCCTGTTTATGCCACTCACAGAAACGTCTTCCCTCTTCTGTCCTTCAAAGACCAGCAATTCTTGCCTCCTTCATGACTCCTGCTGACTACTTCCCTCCTGAATAATCACTCCATCTGCTGAACTGCATGGCCTTTAGTCAGCAGGTAACCACTTACGATATTTTTCCATTGCTGGCATTGCATCTGATTAGACAGTAAAATCACTGAGAACAGGGCTGCCTGGTATGCAGCACAACGTTCAACACAAAGGACCCAAACTAAAGAGTGTAACCTGGCTTTAGAACAGCATGTGAATATGCAGGCATCCCCCACTTGTCAAAAGTTTGCAAAAGCAAAATAAAAGTTTGCTTTTATGAAAGACCTACATTAGGACCGGTGTTTGTTAACCGGAAGAACTCTGCAGAGGATTTCTGCTTTCACGAGAAAAGCTGGAGAGTAAACTAGCAATCGGCATTTGTTTTGCAGCAAGTGGTGACAGAAGCAGGGCGCCCGCCAGCAGCCAGGGCGGCCTCCTGGACTTCCTTCGGGCCGGGAGCTACACTCAGCATCTCGGCATCAAGCCACGCCCCCAGAGCGTTCAACTGCAGCTGTGAGCATCTGTGCTGTGTCTCAATTTCTTTTGTGCATCCGTTAGCAAGATGCATCCTAAGGTATCAGAAAAGCCTAAGCGAGGCTATTTTTTGGATCTGAGAAGGCTCAAAAATGTTTCCATGTAAATTCATGGTAATTGCTTCTTCACTTTATTCCATTTCAGCCTACGAAAGGTTTCATAGGAACACTCGACTTTTGGAAAGTGGGGGAAACATGTACTTCATCTTCAAAAAAGGAGTGGCAAAAGCACTTTATTTTTGATGTGAATATAAAAGCAAGTAAACAGGGGCGCCTGGGTGGCTCAGTTGGTTAAGCGACTGCCTTTGGCTCAGGTCATGATCCTGGAGTCCCTGGATCGAGTCCCGCATCGGGCTCCCTGCTCAGCAGGGAGTCTGCTTCTCCCTCTGACCCTTCTGTCTCTCATTCTCTCTGTCTCAAATAAATAAATAAAATCTTAAAAAAAAAAAAAAAGCAAGTAAACATTCCAGTGTGAGACTTCCCACCTGTTGCCAAAGAGGGTCTCCCAAAAACTGCCAATAAGGGGAAGAGACTCCAAAGTTTCTACTCCTCTGACTTTATCAGAGGAGTTACTTCCATTTTCTCGGCTCCCATCGCCATTGACAGTTTTCCGTAATTTTCTACCAAAAAAAAAAAATTGAACAACTTCAGATTATTCAAGAACTTTTATATTTCTGCCCTAAATATCCCTACAGAAAATGATACCAATGGGTTACAATGTGAAATGAAGTATAGTGAATTTCATATAATGAGGGTAAATCGTGCAATAATGTTTCTGACTGAAGGGCAAAATTGGATTCCAAACCAAAGTCCTATGCTATCATTTTGTTCAATATTTAAAGAAATGGAACTGATATTCTGAGTATGACTGAGAGTCTTTTCGGGAACACTCAACACCACTAGCAGAAGGAACAATTCCTTTAAATATGAATGGCAGAAATCTATGCATTGGACACACTTTATCAGGGAACACAAAATAACAGCAACTGATCACTTTGATTGATACCTGAAGCAGCTAAAAGATTCATCCTATAAATCACAACGGGATACATGTGATTTCCTTAGAAGTCATTCAATTAATTGAACAGAATTTTCAAGAAATCCTTTTTTTTGAAAAAAAAGTCTCGAAAATAACATTAAAAAATAAGAATAAATATGTTGAAGTTCATCGCACCAAATGAAAAAAAAATCTTCTTTAGTAACTGTTTAGGGGAACAAACATCTACAGATATTCTGAGGAATGATAATGTAACTTTTGGAAGGTAATATACCTACATTTACCTTAAAAAAAAAAAAAAAAAAACCTTTAACAGTTCCAAAATCACACATAGCACATAACCAATAAAACATGAAGTGAATTCAATGTGTAGAAATATCAGATTCATCTCTATTAAAAGCTCAGAGTACTTGGAAATCCATCTTTATTATGTACCATTGAAAAAAGGTAAAAATTTTAGTAGCACTAACCTAATGTACTAACATCCTTCTTTACACAGTGAATTTTCACCAAATTTTGATTGAGACTATATTTTGAAGAATGTGTTTTCAACATCACTATTTAAGGTAAATTTTAATAAAGTACAATATAGTGTCAGATTTTTCCTCTTAAACAACTGTACTGAATGACAAAATCCCAGCTGGGATTAAAAGGTCATGACAATGTTTCCTGTCATCGGGAAGAAAAGTGAAAGCCAAAAAATAATTTAAAAGACATGCAAGGGCGCCTGGGTAGCTCAGTTGGTTAAGCAACTGCCTTCGGCTCAGGTCATGATCCTGGAGTCCCGGGATCGAGTCCCGCATCGGGCTCCCTGCTCGGCAGGGAGTCTGCTTCTCCCTCTGATCCTCCCCCTCTCATGCTCTCTGTCTCCCATTCTCTCTCTCAGATAAATAAATAAAAAATCTTTAAAAAAAAAAAAATAAAAGACATGCAAAACAGGAAGATTTTGTTATTGATTTCATCAAAGATTTTGTAAGCGTGTACAATGCCTCTCCCAAAAAATACACGACTACAAATGTAATTTCTCATCTTACCTTCTTCTCCGATTTCCATTGTTTCCCGATGGCCTTGTTATCTGAGTGGAAACAATTTGACAGTGGACAGTTCCCATGAGTAACATAAGGCACAAGGGTCCAAGGACTTCACTTACATTCACAATAGGCATCATAAAATATAACACGAGTGCTATAACTGAAAAGAAGAGGTTTCAAAATGTAAAACATAAAGGCTTGTCTGTATATCTAATCCTAGCAACTGCACAGACTATTGCTACAAAAATCTATAGATTTAAAAAGTACCAGGTAAAAGCACGTAATTTTCTACAGTGCAATCCACCCGTACATCAGTTGAGTGAAAACTGAAGCCTCAGGCCACAGAGCAAGAGAAGAATAATGTGTTTGAAGGATTTGCTTTCCTGGCAGTATAATTATCTAGATATTTCAAAAGGCTCTCCACCACAAAACAGCTAGATGCTGTATGATACACACTAGGAAGAGTTGTTCCACCCAGAGGAACGGTATTTTCGAAGGCCCACACTTGCACCAAGAGCAATTAGCAAAGCTGGGATTTGAACCCAGGTGACTGGGCTCCAGAGTCCTTACTCTTAACTACTATACTATACTGCCTCTTCATATATGCATATGAACTGTCCAAAGAAATCAGTGGTGAAAGACACAGAAAAACAACAAAAACGACATCCAAAAAAATCCACATACAATTTCTTTCAGACTTTAACATAAAGATAATTCTTGGGATATATAAACTATTCCTATATGGAGAAAAAGCTAGCAAATTCATTTCAGGCCCTAACACCCTATCACCCAAATATAACGATGACAGCACCCAAACAATAAACCACAGACCTTGCGGCCTTGTGAACGTAGATACAAATTTCCTACTGAAAGGCAGGCACTGTGAATGAAGGGATTTTTGTCGATTTGGCTCACTGCTATAGCTAGATCAGTAAGTAGCACATAATGGATACTTAATATTTGTTGAATGAGCAACTAAAATACTATCAACATAAATTTGAGTAATTCACCAAGAGCATGCAGGGTTTATGCTGGAAGGAAAAATTGATCTCAGAGCCCTGATAGAACAATACATGTATAGACATGGTAGGCACTTACATATTTGTTGACTGAAATGATTTAATCTAATAATTTAATAACATGTAATTTGGGTCACATATATACAAATTATCTCAACTGACAACTGCATAAAAGGCCTTTGTCCCTGATTCCTGGGAGGTGACCTCTACATCCTTGGAATTTCTCAAGTGATGGAAGGTATTCACAGCAGGCCCCTCGGACCAAACCTGATAGTTTATGCCAATGAGGTGACTACGGATGTGATTAGAGGGTTGAGGCTTTGAGCCAGTGTATCAGCCTGACCTCTGGGATAGAGTGGGGAGGAGGGCTGAAGACTTTGAGTTGGCTCCTTGGTCAATGACCAAGGATACCGAAGCTTGGGTGAGCCTCCCTGATTGGCAAGAGTCTGTTAGTATTGCTACTCATCATGGCAGAAAGGGGACCATATCCCTATGGATAATGAAAACTTCCTGTTTGGAATCCTCCCAAACTATGCATCTCTTCTAATTCATATAATAAAACTTTTAGTATAATAAAACTGTAATTGTAAGTATAGCACTTTCCTGAATTCTGGGAGTCATTCTAGTGAATTATTGAAGGAATCAGTAGGGGACCTTCAAAACTGTAGCCAGTGGGTCAGAAGTAAAGGTAACCCTGGGGACTCCCAAAGTGAGGCTGGTGTCTGAAGTAAGGAGAGTCTTATGAAGGGCTATACCTTTAACCTGTGAGTTTGGCCAACTCCTATAGTGAAAAAGCATTCCATAAAAAAAATCAACGTTTGTTTCTGATTTATAATTAATCTTAAATGGCAATCTCTTCTAAAATACTAGGAATATAAAAATATGTCCCTAATATAGTAAAGAAGAAATCAACACACATCATACTAAGGAAGACACTCTGAATCAGGAACAAAAGGGTGATCAGTCTTACTGTTCTTACTTAATGCTGCTCCGAAAATGTTGACTAATTCAATAATAGTAAATGAAATGTATGAAAACGGAGGAAACCAGATTTTCATTATTTGCCAACCCACGTGGTTGTATAATTAGAAAATGAGAGAGAAGCACTGAAAAACTATTAAAATTAATGAGGGTTTAATAAAGTGGTTGGTTATAACAATTTTAAACATAAACTAGTAGCTTTCAAATGTAATAGCACTAAACCAGCTGAAATTTATACAACAAAAACAATGTCATACCTGCAGGAGCAACAACAAAAATAAAAACAAATATTTTACTTTAATGTGGAAGCACCAAAGTGTCCATTGATGGATGAATATATAAACAAAAGAGGGGACATACATATATAATGGATTCTTACTCACCACTAAAAAGGAAGGAAATGCACATGCTGGATATGGATGAACCTTAAAAACATGAGGCTAAGTGCCATAGGCCAGGCTCAAAAGGACAAATACTGCATGGTTCCAGTTATATGATGTATCCAGAGTTGTCAACTTCACAGAGAAAGTAAATAGAATGGTTGCCAGGGGCCTGAGCTTGGTGGGGGAATTGGGGAACCAGGCAATTACTGTTTTATAGGTACAGAGTTTCAGTTGGGAAAGATGAAGAAAGTTCTGGAGATGGATGGTAGTGATGGTTGCACAGCCATGTAAGTGGGCTTAATGCCATCGACTGTATACTTAAGAATGGCGAAGGTGGTAAATTATACGTTATATGTATTTTACTACAATAAAAAAATTTGAGTTTAACTTTAAGAAGATCTAAGCAGGCCTCATAAGAAATAAAAATCCTACAAAGCTTTACTGAGAGATATAACAGAAGACTTGATTAGAAGGTGAGATATATCAATTTTCTTCCCATTCCCCCCAAATATATCTATATCTTCATGGGAAGGGGGGGATTACAGTCTAATTCCAAATTATTTCTTTGTTTTGACTAGGATAAAATAATTCTAAATTATTTTGAAAAAAATAAGCAAATTAAAACACCTAAGAAAATGCTGGAAAAGCAAGATACTAGAGGAATACTTCTGCTCAATGCTACCACATATTAAACAACTATAGTAATTAAAGAAATGTGGTGCAGATATGAGAATAACAAGACAAACTGATGGTGCAGAATATGTGTTTGGAAATAGACCATGGTGTATATGAAAATTTAATGTATATAATTTAACATATCTCAACAAGAAAGAAATTCTTCAGTAACGAACATGTGGAAAAATATTTAACTTCACCTTTATAAGCTACAAAAAAAATGCAGACTAAATGAGCAAAACACCATTTTTTGTATATCCAATTAGGTAACCATCTTTAAAATTATAATAGTGCTGGTCAGACTGTGGTAAAACAGGCACTATCATCCACTACTTTCCAAAAGAAGTGTGCCACTCGCAATTTCACTTTATGTTCTAAAAGCCTTAAAATGTTTATATTCTTTGATCTCTTAATTCAATTTCAGAGAATTCTAAGGAAATAAGATAAAATATGGAAAATTTTGTTTATGATGGCATTATTAATAGGAAAAAAAAAACCAGGAACAATCTAAATGCTTACAATATGGGAACAGTTATATAAATTATGGTACTTTTATATAATGGAATATTAAGTAGCTATAAAAAGTATTTATGGTAAGAGACTCACACAGACATGAAAATGATTATTTTAAATGTTGGTGTATCCATATGATGGAATATTATGCAGCCATTAAAATGACAGCCATTTCATTACAATTAAATAAAACTAAAAATTCAGTTCCTTACTCACACCAGTCACATTACAAGTCCTCAACAGCCACATAGGACTGGGTAGTACAGACACAGAACATTTCTATCATCATAGAAATTCTATTGGACAGCACTGTCACAACTTTAGAAAATTAAACTTATAGATTTGTAAATTCATACATTTATCTTTCCCTCTATAACTTTATTAAACAACTCAAAAAAACCCCAGCACAGATAAAAGAAAACAAAAATCACCCCAAATCCTTCCACCCTAACCCAACCTTCACCTACTCTGTTCTAATACATGTCTTTTTGTTCAGGTATAACCAGAGTGCATACGTGGTCCCATTTCGAAAAGTATTCCTGGTAGGCAGTGGCCATATAGTGGTATAGAGAATGTGCTGGACTCCTGCACATAGTGAGAAGAGAAAAGCCAACATCAGGTAGTTGGGTAATGCAGAAATTAAAATAGATTCCTGGGGAACAGTAGGACTATTTAGAAAGTATAGATAGGGATGGCCTCTCAGTGAAAGTTCCATCTGAGCTCAGATCCTAAAGATGAGAAAAAAGACAGCCATGTGAAAAGCCTTAAGATTGTTTCAAACAGAAGGAAGAGCTCAGTGCAAAGACAGAAAAAGGCCATGATGCCCCCAGCGAGCAAGGAATAGGGCACGGCCTCTGAGAGGCCAGCAGGGAAGAGATCATGGAGGGCCCTGCAGGCTGCAGTGAGGAGTCTGGATTTCACTCCAAGGCCAATGAGAAGTCTCTCAAGGGTTTTAAGCAGGAAAATGACATGATATGGATTCTACTGTAAAAGATTTCTCTAACTGGTGTGAAAAGAATAGATGGTAGAAAGGAGGCTCAGAGTAGACATTATTCCAGTGGTCTAGGCAAAGCAACGCTGGTGTGGTAGACCATGGGGGAAAAAAAAAAATCCAGAGTGCCATGTTGGATATGATAGGTTCAAGATCCCTTTTAAATCTCTATACATAAATGCCTGAAAGCAGGCAGTTAGATTTACAAGTCTGCAGTTCAGCAGAGATCTGGCCTGAAGATAAAAATTTGAGAATCACCAGTTTATCAGCTATATTTAAACAATGGGGTTTGATGAGAGTACCTAGAGAAGAGAATCCAGGGTCCAACCTTGAGGTAATCCAATATTCAAAGGTCACACAGAACAAAGATTGAAAAGACCTGGCCAGTGAGACAGGTGGAGAGAAATTCAAGAAAGATGAGTTAGACAACTGTGTTTGCCTCTGTGAGCAAATAAATCTAAGATGATCTCCAAATGGTGTATATCCTTTCATTTCTTTGCACTTTAAACTCTCAAATGAATGGGTAAATGTAAGGACAGTAAAGTCTGCATTATCTAATAGCAAAAGCAGCAAAGAGAAACGGTTACAGTATTCCACCCCTCTCATTACCTTGCATGAGGTAAAGTAGTAGCAGCCAAACAAAGATTCTTAAAGAGGTAACCTGAATCCACCAACTGCTGAACAATGGAAACAACACAACTCGAACAAGCCCCTTCCGAGTCAGAGATGTCCATGGAATTTCAGGTTTGGCTTTGGCAAATGTTGAGCCTTTAAATATACAATAAAACAAAACATCAAACATTTACATACACTATACTAATGCCTACTTGTAACACTGTATTAAAAACAGCTGAGAGCAAAAATCACCATACAACCTGTTTGGTTAAAAAGAATCCTCTTAGATATTCATTAAATACAGTAACTTCTTGCCTCAATCACTAAGACAGGAGCTCAAAATAAGTCAGGCTGACTCGAATGTTATACAATATATTTTTCTCAATTACACAACAGCAGTTTCCAAGTTCATCCCTCTTTCACCCTAATGTGATTTATATAACCACAAAGAAGCAAAGCAAAGGGAAAAAAAAATCCCAAGGCCTGAATGATGAAGGAAGAATATTCCTTTTGGAAATTAAAGTACACCGTCATATAGGGACGATATCTAAAAAAGAATCTCTAGCACCACTATGAAATAATATAATAAAATACATAAGAAACAAACCAACTTTACAACTCACCTCTAATTAAGTCAACGTCAATCAAGTCTGGTTTTATGTGACCCATCTTTTTTGGTTTGTTTTTGAAGCCCTAGGATAAGACAAAACAAAACCAGAGATAAGGGTAAAAAGCCCTTTTAAATACAAAAGGTAAACTTACATTTCTTTTTTTCTGTATCTGACTCCCTTTTACTGGGGACACTTTAATCCTAATGTTCCTTAAAATAACTTATCATTAATGTTTTAGTTTGTAGTTTACCAAGTAATGCAGGAATATACGTTTATCGCTTTTTAAAATGATCCAACAATGCCAAAGGATCAGGAAGTACAAAATAATAGTCCCTTCATTCCCTCTCCTCTCCTCCTGGTTTCAGTGATTAAAAACAAATAACTTTCATCTTTTTTTTTTTTTAAACCGGTTCTCTTGGTATTTACTTCCATACTTTTTTTTTTTTTTTTTTAAGTAAACTCCACATGCAGCACGGAGCCCAACATAGGGCTTAAACTCACAACCCTGAAGACTTGAGCTGAGATCAAGAGTCAGGTGCTTAACCGACTGAGCCACCCAGGTGCCCCTACTTCTATACTTCTAAATAATGTTTATACTGCCATTTTTTAATTTATTGATTTTAGAAATAATCCACTGACTCCTAATATAGCATATGAGAATTTAGCTCTCTTACACAACTAATCCCCACATCCTAACTTCCACCCCCAAAACATAAATCCTTACAATAGTTATATTAATTTTTGATAAATCAGTAATTAGTATTTATGATATGATCACTATTAAATATTGTTCCCTGTAAGCCATATTTTATATTCTAATTTACTCTACAGAGTCAGCTAAAACATCATTTTCCAAATACTCAAATGCCAGAAAATTAATCGAAGTCTTTTTTTCTTGAAAAAAAAAAAAAATTCCTGGAAATGCCCTTCCCAGAAACTTCTATCTTCCTGCTGCAATCAGACTGGTTGCTCTCAGGGCCGGCTGCACAGCTAGCTCTTTATGCAAGACTTCTCACTATCACCCTGACAACTCCCTTCACCTCTGTGGTGAATCTCTAGCTCTTACATCCCATGTCTCTGGAGTGCATCCTTCAGAAGCTTCCTGAGAAAGGGGTCACAGAAGATATCTTTTTTAAGCCTCGCATGTCTGAAAATGAATTCATTTTACCCTTATGCTAATAAAAGGTTACACTAGAGTGTAGAATTCTAAGTTGTTAATAATTTTCCTTCAGGAATTATGACATTGTTCTACTGTTTTCTAGCTTCCAATGTTGCTGTAACAAACTCTAGTGCCTTTCTGATTCCTGATCCTTTGAATGTCAATTGTTCCTTTCCTTTGAATCTTCACTTTATTCATGGTGTTCAGAAATTTGATAATGATATGCCTTGATATGAGTCTTTTACATCTCTTGTGCTGAGAATCCCTTCTATGTGGCTTTAGGGAAGTTTTCTTATAATTTATTTTTATATTTCTTCCCTTCTCAGACTTAACTTTCCTATTTTCTTTTTTGGTTTTTTTAAATTTAATTTTATTATGTTATATTAATCACCATACATTACATCATTAATTTTTGATGTAGTGTTCCATGATTCATTGTTTGGACATAACACCCAGTGCTCCATGCAGAACGTGCCCTCTTTAATACCCATCACCAGGCTAACCCATCCTCCCACCCCCCTCCCCTCTAGAACCCTCATTTTGTTTCTCAGAGTCCATAGTCTCTCATGGTTCGTCTCCCCCTCTGATTCCCCCCCCCTTCATTTTTCCCTTCCTGCTATCTTTTTTTTTTTTTTTTATCATATAATGTATTATTTGTTTCAGAGGTACAGGTCTGTGATTCAACAGTCTTACACAATTCACAGCGCTCACCATAGCACATACCCTCCGCAATGTCTATCACCCAGCCACCCCATCCCTCCCACCCCCCACCACTCCAGCAACCCTCAGTTTGTTAACTTTCCTATTTTCTACCTCTTTTGTCTTTTTGACCTGCTTTCTGGAAATTTCCTCAAGTTCTACTGAATTTTTCATTTTGCCTCTTTGAGTTCATTTCTTTCTGTTCTTTTTATTTTGGAGGATTTATTCAAATACCTAGTATCACTGGCTTTCTTTATATATTAGAATGAAGCACTGAAAACCTGATGGACTCAATATTCTACTTCAAGGTACATATCCAAGACAAATGTGTATGTATTTCACTAAATAATGTGTACAAAATGTTCATAGAAGAGTAATTTCTAAGAGCTCCAGACTGGAAACTACCCAGCGACAATAACTGGATATTGCCCATCAACAGTAGAATGCATAAATAGTTGTGGTGTTGTACTGAATAAAATACAATTATGCAACATGAATGAATCTCACAAACATAAAACTGAAAAAAAAATTAGACTCAAATGTGTATATATTGTATAATTTCATTTATATAAAGTTCAAAAAGGCAAAACTAATCCACAGCACTAGTAGTCAGGATACTGGTCTACCTCTGTTGGTAGTAGTGACTGGAAGAGTATGGAAGGGAAGCTTCTATGGTACTGCTAATTATCTATCTCTTGATCTTAATGCTGGTTACATGGTTACATTCAGTTTGAGAAAATTTCCCAACCTTTACACTTAAAATTTTGTTATATATGCATGTGTATAAGTATATCCATATTTACTGAACATGTTTTACTTCAACAGAAAACTTATTGGAAGCTCTATGTATATGAGCATAGTTTATAGACTTGGGATTTCACTGCAGAGTAATCAACCAGCTTAAGGGAATCACCAAATGTCAATATCTGGAGGCATTTTTTGTGGGGTCATTCAAGGCTCTTCAAAGAATATTCCAGTATTCTCCTTGGTTGAAGGTTAGGAAGGCTAAAGATTTCTGTGGTGGAAGTTTTGAGATTAAACCAAGGGGCTCACAATTCTGCTTTTAGTATCGTGATTCTTGCCTGCCCTTCAGTGTCCACAGACTGTTCTCCAATGAATTTTCTAAGAAATATCACCAGTCTCCTTCATAAGGGCATTGTTGCCCATCTTTAAGGGATTGATGAGAAGACAAAAGGTCCAATCTCTACGTATACGAAGTTATTCAATCCCCCATTTAACTGCCTCACATGAAACCTGGTGCATTCAAGTCCTAAGCCTCTCTGGGGAGCTCTGCAGGTCAACTGGCATTTCCCCCTGCTCTCCTAGCACTCTCTTCCATTCATTTTTCATCTTCCAAATATATGTTGATTCCTTATCTACTGAGATCTTCCTCCTCAATCTTTTTCCTTGACTTTGTGGATGTATTCATTTTATACAACCCCTTTATGGATTCCTTTCGTGTAATTTAGTGGTAACCCAGAAAGGAGAGATTATAAATTTAGTGTGTGGCCAATCTACCACATTTAACCAAAAATCTAGTCATAAATTTTTTTTTCAGGGCATGAACAAAGAATCCTTTCAGGGCCTTTGTCTTCTACCACCTCAAATTAAAAGTAAGTTTGTGAATTATCTTTTGTGTTTCAAACTCCTGGTTTGACTAACAGTTTTGTTTCAATACTATTAATAAATAAAACTTTTAAAAGATGAATTTTAATTTTATATTCAACATGTGTAAATGCTAATCCAGCCTTTAAAATTAGGTATTTAAGCATTAAAATTAAAGTAAAAATTAAAGGTTACAGCCATTTCAGACATTGAGCCAGTATTGATCTTTAGTTCTGTTTAACTAATCAGATTTGGCCAAACAATTTCTCTTGTGGATCCTATGTTTCTATCCATTTCAACTACAAACTATAGATTTTAGAGGAGAATGTTCTAAAACCCTACATGTAATAAAATTAAATCTAAGGAGGAATCAAAATTTGAAAGTTAGACATTTCAGAGAAAAAAATAATCCTTTGGAACACACGTACACTAAATTTTGAAATATGCATAATATCCATGGGAATAACAATTATCTTGGCTACATACAAAATCAGAAATTAAAATTGTAAAAGTAAAAATATCAATGTATTATTTTCTAACAGACAAAGATCTTGTGAACCTTTATTTCCTTCAGACAAATACCCAGAAATGGGACAGCTGGATCAGATCATAGTTCTATTTTTTTTTGAAAAGCTTCCATACTGTTTTCCATAATGGTTATTCCAGTTTACATTCCCACCATCAGTATATAAAAGTTCTCTTTTCTCTACATCCTCACCAACACTTACTATCTTCTGACTTTCTGATAAGAGTCAAACGGTCCTGACAGGTGTGAGGGGATATCTCACTATGGTTTTGATTTACATTTCCCTGATTATTAGTGATGTTAAACACCTTTTTCATATACCCATTGGGTATATCTTCTTTGGAAAAATGTCTGGTCAGGTCCTTTGTCCACTTTTAATTGGATTACTTGTTTTTAACTATTGAGGTGTAAGAGTTCCTTATGTATTTTGAATGTAAACCATTTATCAGATATATGGTTTACAAATATTTTCTCCCATTCCATAGGTTGCCTTTTCATTATTGCTTCCTTTGCCGTGCAAAACACTTTTTAGTTTGATGTAGTCTCACTTGTTAATTTTTGCTTTTGTTGTCTGTGCTTTTTTGTCAAATTCAAAAAACTCTTGGCCAATGAGCCCCTGGTTTCTTCTAGGACAATTTCAGGTCTTACACTTAAGTCTTTAATCCATCTTGAGTTGATTTTTATGTGTGGTGTAAAATAAAGGTCCAATATCATTCTTCTGCATGAGGATATCTATCCAGTTTTCCCAACATCATTTATTGAAGAGACTCTTTTTCCCATCATGCATTTTGGCACCTCTGCCAAAGATTAGTTGACTGTGTAAGCATGCGTGTATTTCTGGGGTCTCCATTTTGTCCCATTCGTCTATGTGTCTTTTATGACTGTATCATACTGCTTTGATTACTATAGCTTTGTAATATAATCTGAAATCAGGAAGTGTGATGCCTCCACCTTTGCTCTTCTTACTCAAGGCTGCTTTAGCTATTTGGAGTTCTTTGTAGTTCCATACGAATCTTAGGATTTTTTTTTTTTTTTTTTTTTTTTGCATCTGTGAAAAATACCATTGGAATTTTGATAGACTGCTTTTAATCTC